CCACAACCTCTTTATCTGTTCTGTGTCGGACTGAGTTGACATTGGTCAAGTCTGATCAACCTGTCGTAGCTTCGTCTGTCATGCTGGCAATCAATCCGAATCGACATATTCTTCCTTTCAGGCTGATACTGAGACAATTCATGTCGAACCAGCAAATGCAGAACAGAATTTATCAAAAAAAGAAAGAAAAAGGGGAAATAAAAATTAAATGTCCATCAAACACCCAATACCCTCTCATCCTCGGAGATTATGTCTCCTCAACCGCGTTGGTGCTCATGTTCACATGAGAGATAACCATTTGAGCCACAAAGACTCAAGCATCAAATATAATACAATGGAACTGAGAGGACTTAGGAATAAATATAATGACTTACAATTCTTAATTCAAGATTTCAAACCAGGTGCAATATGTTTACAAGAAACATACTATAAAGACACTGATATTATCAACTAATTATCAACTCCTGAAGCATTTACCAGAGCCATGTTTAGAATCTCTTTTCGTTATTTTTGATGACATATAGACATCAGGTAAGTTTCTTTCCTCATGACGTCAAAGCTATCAAAAAAAAAGAAAGAAAAAGGTGAAACAAAAATTAAACCTTTCTGCCACACATTAAATACTTAAAAAATAAATGTCTGAAGCCACTTGCTCCATTGAAAGTCGTTTCTGATTCAAAGCGGCGAGGGGATCAGAAAACCCTCCTCCAACTGTAGAGCGCTCTAAACTGGATTACATCTCAGTCGTATATGGTTGAGGTTGTAAACGTGAGTTTAAAAAAACAAACTAGATTCGATTCATCATCAGAGACTGAGGCTCTGCCTTTGAGCCTTAAGAGCTTCTCTGAGACAAAGTCAGTATGTGGAGGCTGTTTTCTTTTAATCCTCTATATACAGAATGCTGTAATAAAAAGGTAATCTCTTACTCTACTCATCAATACTCTACTGCTGTCACATTTAGTCGCCCCATGTTGGAGGTATAGAGAATAAGAAACTCTATCGGTGCTGTAAGGAGCATGGCATTGTAGCGCCACACTAACACACCTGTTAGACGAGACATACATGTATAATCAACGTCAGTACTCTGCATGTCAGCTTGACCCGTTTGAACATTGGGACACTTAGATTTAGTAAGTTGCATATTAGTTATTTATGGAAACATTAATAGGCATCAGATGTTTCAGGAAACAATTCTGATATAGGTTTCCGTTTTCAAAATACTACCATGGTTTAGATTAACATGTTTGACATAAATTCATACACGACCTCTTGTTTCCTTAGTGAATTATTTGTTTCATGCTTTGATGGTTAGTTCTTATAAACTTTAGGGGGCACGGGTGGCCCAGTCGTCTAAGGCGCAGCGATTTGCTGTGCAGAGTTGCGGCCCTTGGGCACGCCAGAAACCTATGATTGTGGGTTCGAATCCCGGTTCACCCCAATTATGTTTCTAGGTTTGTCAGCACCATACACGTGCTCGTGGGTTTCACCGAAGTGTTAAACGTCTGATACCTGCATCACTTCGGGCTTTCCTCCCACATTAAGCTGACATGCCGTGATATAACTGGAATTCTGTTAAAAGCGGCGTTAAACCCAACTCACTCACTCACTCACTCTTATGAACTTTTGTGTCCATAGGAATACGAAACCAGTGTTTCTATTTATAGCCCAGGCTGTCACGGTGCTGCACTGGCTTGAACGTGTTGCTCATCACCTCACAACAAAACAGGTTTATGCCATTCTGAAAACACTTTAACATGAACCACGTATACCACTATGATGGTGTCCACCTAATACCTCTTGCTCCTTGAGTGAGTGAGTGAGTGAGTGAGTTTGGTTTTACGCCGCTTTTAGCAATATTCCAGCAATATCACGGCGGGGGACACCAGAAATGGGCTTCACACATTGTACCCATGTCGGGATTCGAACCCGGGTCTTCGGCGTGACGAGCGAACGCTTTAACCATCAGGCTACCCGACCGCCCCTTGTTCCTTGAAAAATAATAACGAATGTTTCAGGAAGTCATTGCTGTGAAAACATATAACAGTCAAGTCTCGTTAATCCGACATCGTTGGTCGCACATGATTGTGTCGGATTAACGAGTATGTCGGATTAACGAAATTAAGTGATTTGTGATCGAAAATCGGACATCTTGGATGTTTGTTTGTTTATGTGATTTTGATTTGGTAGGTTATTGTGTTTTTAGATGCGTTTTTTTAGTTCCGTTTTTATTAAGAATACGCCTAAGGCCTTGAAGTTTTCTAGTTTATTTTGTGGCTTTAGTATTGCTTCTAGAGTGAGAGCCTTGTTTAGATTGAGGGTGGTTTGTAATGCGGTTCGATGTGTTAGGTAGTGTGTGCAGTGGATGAGGTTTCTGGTTGTTTGCAGTGTGGGCAGTTACCTGTAGTGTGTTTTTTAATTTTTGTAGGTGGTTATTTAGGTTGGTGTGTCCTGTTTGGAGTTTAGTGATTACTCTGTCGATTTTTTTTGGTTTGGTTAGTGGTTTACTGAGGTCTTTTTGATTTGGCTATTTGAGTTTAGATATAGGTTATGCCATTTTTTGGTGATTTTTTGTTTACATACCAGTCGACCATGTTTTATATACCTGTTCGTATTTTAAACTGATTTCATGCACATTTATCTGGCTTCAATCTGTAAACTACATTTGTATAGCTTTGTACATACAGGTTTGAATAGCTTTTCCTGTTAATTGTTAAAGTTAATCTCTGCAGCCAATCGGTTCCCGTCATTTGTGTCGGATAAAGCCGAGTGTCGGATTAACGAGACTTGACTGTACTAGCTTTGATTCAATTCATGTTTGTTTTCTAATTTTCTATGACCCTAATATCTAAACTTATGTCATGTTCTCCTATCCTGATTCTGAAGGTAGCACATGCAATCAGCATATAGTACAGGCTAGAACTTGCAAAGTTCAAACACATTAATAGTGTTCATCATTGACCGTACAAGATTGATACTAGGGAAACAAGCGGCAGTGATGAAGCTATAGCTGTTGTATTCTGAAAGGAAACGCAGACGAACAGACAGTATTAGAAGCGATGCAGTTATACACACGATAATTAAAGATATATATTACAGGTAGGTTGCAGAATATTAGTGCAATATGATGAGGCAATGGCCACACCATGACAAGTGTGCATTAATGCAATATGTAATATTTACATTCAGTGTTTATATAGGCCTCTCGCTCCTACGGCCATTATTGTTGGGAGTGTCTTTATATGTTTAACAACGAAACAAATAAAGAGATTTGATAGCAGGGTTTACTTGCCTGGAAACTGTGCAGTTTGATTAATTAGAATTATACTTAAAGTTACGACACTGGCAATGGAAGTTCATCTGCGTACACAAACCATAGGGTAGACTTTGAATTTATATAATAACATGACATTTGTGTACAGCTAACACATCTGACAAAGTCTAGATGGTTTATTTTTATGATATTGTCATAGTCCTAAAATCACTATAATTAACCCATAATTATAGTGGTCATATTTCAATATTATGTTTTGTATTTCTCTCAATATGTTATCTTACAACTAGCTATACCTAAATATATTTCTGTAGATAATGTTAGTCAGCTGCCATGCACGTAACTGACCGTCACAAACCAGTGACTCTGGATTATGTAACTCAGCCAGGTGGCCAGGCTAGGGTTATGCCCCAGGCTATAACATGCTGTGTATGGCCGGACGCGTCGTCATTTTAGTATCAGATAGGTGGAATACAAAGGATATTACGCGGTCAGTGTGCTCTGTAACTGTCGAATAAGTATAATTAATACGCCACGCATGTAGCAGATTTATGTCATAGTTTCAATATTAGGTAACTAACGCATTCTGAGTCCCTATATATACGGAGTCCAGTGGCAGACACTTCACTCTGCCACGAATAAAGACTTCAAGGGACTCAGCAGCCTTCTCTCTGTTTTAAAGGTGACAGCCGAGTAATCAGCTCTACCAAGTTAATTCCCCCACTATCTTGGCCATTGTGACGTAGCAAACGGGACCACGCCCATACAAGGCAAAACGGCCCGAAACACAAGCTACGTCAGTTGATGGAGATCAAAGTTTCCGGTGCTGATGAAAGGCAGAACACAGAGAACAGGATGAGGCTGCAGTCTTTTAGTCTTGTCTCGTTGTAACCCTGAGTTACCAGGCAGAGTCATCATCAACAACAGCTCTACATCAGAGACGCCAACCTCTACAATACCAACATCACCAGCAACATCCACCAAACGTCAACATCAACGGTACCAACGTCAACGTCAACGTCAACATCAACATCTACGTCAGTATCAACAGCCATATCAACGTCACCAACAACATCCTCAACAGCAGCTACTCAAAGTATTTCCTCCACGGCTTCAACCACAAGCATGGCCATGTCACATATTCAACTTCCTAAATATTCAGGTAAACAGGATGCAAATAACTGGTGGTCAGATCTAGAAACTTGGGTTAAACTCCAAGGTACTGATCAAGACAGAGCGTGTTTAATGTTGAACTTCCTTTTAGAAGGACCAGCCAAACAGTGGCATCATGCCTTGAGTGACGATATCAAGTCAGACTGGAATAGCTTGAAACAAGCTTTCATTACTAGATTTCAACCATCAGGACAATTTGATCTGTCGGTATTGGCAATCAATCAGCAACCTGCTGAATCGGTATCAGATTACATCAGTAGGTTACAGCAGTCCACCTCTAGTAAATCCATACCAGTCGACATCTTAGTTGCCATAGCTGTGAATGGTCTGTGCCCTTCCGTCAGACAATGGGTCTATAATAAAGAACCCAAAACATTGGAAGAAGTGCGTCAACAGGGTGAACTAGCATCCAAATCATACCTCAGCATCCAACAGCCAGATCAAGCTAACCTCACAGACCAGGTGACTAAGCTATCAACACTAGTGATGTCGCTAAGGGAGAGCCAACAGAAGCCTTTAGCAGCTGCAATGTCTACACAGCAGGAGACGCTCCATGATGACTGTCAACAAAGAGTCAGGTTCCAGTCACCACCTCGACTTGATGACTACAGCTCAAGACAAGGTCATCAGTCATCGTATGCCAGTCCACAGTCGCAGCACAGGCCACGTGACTTCAGGCGAGAGCAACTCCGACCATCAAGCAGAAACAACAGAGAAAGATGCTCAGGATGTGGTGGGTATTGTTCTCAGCATAATTACTGTCCCCATCGGCATACCATTTGCAATGTTTGTAGAAAGAAAGGTCACCATACATCTGTATGTTACCAGGTTCTTCTGTCTAAGATAGATAATCAATAGGGACGCGTGCCTGATTCCAAGGATCCACCTAGAATCAGGCACCCATTGAAACAATCTAAACCATCTGACCCACCCACTAGGCATACTACCCCTACTTCCCAATCCTCTACTAACTCTAAACAACATCATGTATCTCTTGTAGCCCCATTATCTAAAAACACCATTCAAGTTAAGGTCAGACAAGTCAAAACAACAGCATTGATAGACACTGGAGCAACAATCAGCTGTGTTCATATGAAATTTCTGAAGAAAATAGGACTCACTGAGTCTCACCTTCAGAAATCTCATCTAACAGAGATTCTTGGTGTAGGAGGAGAACGCCATCCTGTGTTAGGTTTAGTCACTCTACAACTTAACATAGGCCATGCTTCTTATTCCCAGGAGTTTCATGTCTTCACATCATTACATCATACCATCATTCTTGGTTTAGACTTTCTCCAGTCAAACCATGTCAAAATTGATCTATCAAACCGCACAGTTCACCTGCATGATGGATTAATATCCGTAAGCTTGGTGGATGCCAATGCAGGGTTTGCTAGACCTCGCAAAACAGTTCAGATTCCTCCCCACTCCCAAGCTGATATTCCTGTTAAAATCTCCCGTTGTGAGAGCAACAGAGTATTGCTACTGGAACCATTTCCTGGCCTAGAGACACTCCAGCTTCAAGGAGCCAAATGTCTCATTCAAAGTGCCAAGGGTAGACCATGTATGAGGTTTCTCAACCCAACTGATAAACCTGTCACACTTCGTTGTCAACGAATAGTAGCCACAGCATCCATCATTGACCCATCATCTGTCCATACATTGGAATCTGAGCGAATCTTAGATCATCCATCAGTCAACACTGCAGTCCCTTCTAGCCCATCAAAGCTAAGTGCTAACCTGAATTTTGACCTGAGTGACTCAGATCTCACAGAGACCCAGAAGCAACAGCTTGAGTGCTTCCTGTTGTCTCAAAGATCTGTTTTCGCACGAGAATTGTCAGAGCTAGGCACAACACATCTGCATCAACATAAGATTGAAACAGAGCATACCCGTCCTGTTAGACTCCCCTTCTACCGCCAGTCATCTTTAGTTAGAAAAGAATGTGCTAGGCAAATTAAAGAAATGTTAGATGCAGGCATAATAGAACCAAGTCATTCTGAATGGCATTCGCCAGTAGTCATGGTCAAGAAATCTGACAACAGTTATCGATTTGCGGTAGATTATCGCAAGCTCAATGCAGTTACGAAACCAATATTTTTCCCTCTTCCACGTTTGGAAGATGTCATAGATGCTATTGGTGAAAAACATGCTCAGATGTTCTCTGTTCTTGATTGTGCAAGTGGATTTTGGCAGATACCACTTCACCCAGAAACAAAGCACAAATCCGCCTTCATCACGCAAGATGGCATTTTTGAATTCAATCGTCTTCCTTTCGGTCTCAAAAATGCACCAGCAGCATTCCAGCAAACCATTTGTTCTGCTCTTCAAGCTATGAATTGGAAACACATTTTAATATATGTGGATGATATGATAATCTACAGCAGAACATTTGAAGAACACTTACATCATCTGAAATGCGTTTTTGGCAAACTTAAAGAAGCTGGTCTTACCTTAAAACCAAGCAAATGTAGATTTGCAGCTAAGAGAGTAACGTATTTAGGCCACGTCTTCAGCAAAGATGGAGTAGAAGTTGACAAATCAAAAGTAGAAGTTGTTAAAAGCATCCCTTCTCCCAAAAATGTCCATGACATCAGACATTTCTTGGGTCTTGCAAGTTACTACCGCAAATTTGTCCCAAATTTTTCCCGCATAGCATCACCATTGTACAACTTGCTTCAAAAGGATGCCACCTTTAATTGGTCAGACGAGTGTGAGCAGGCACTTAACAAATTGAAAGGATGCCTAACTTCAGCCCCTGTCTTAACATATCCTGATCCCAATAAACCATTCATTCTAACAACGGATGCCTCTACCTCAGCCATAGGTTATATCTTAGGTCAACGAGATGCTTCTGGCCAAGAACATGTCATCTGCTATGGTGGCCGTGCCCTTCATGCTGCTGAGAAGAAATGGGGCATCACTCAACTAGAATGTTTGGCTGTATTAGAAGGCATTAGAACTTTCAGGGTGTATCTCACATCTCAGAAGTTTAAGGTCTTCACAGATCATCATGCTCTGAAATGGCTTAAGGACATCAAACAGGAAACAGGTCGTCTTGCTAGATGGTCTCTCATGCTGCAGGAATATGATTATGAGATCGAACATCGAGCAGGTAAAGCCAATACAAATGCTGATGCTCTCTCTCGCATTCCATATCCTGCACAGATCATAGAACCTGTCACTGATGATTTTCCTGTCCCACCAGTCCCATCTATCAACTACACCTCAGCCACCATCCAGTCAAATCATCATCCAATCCAGCATTCATATGCTGAAGCGGTTTCAACACCACCCACAAATCCATCAGCAACAACCAATCACCAGATTGCTAGTCAGCTCACTGCAGCAGATAATGACTATGGGATATCTCCTGAATGTTCAACTTCAGAAAACCTTCATTTATCTGGTCAGAAGGCTATAGCACCTTCTTCAGCATCATCAATAGATCTGTATGTTGAATTCTGTTATCAAGATGAGATTCCATCAGGACCAACAGTTCAAACTATTGGAACTGATATTCCGGAAAACAATCTTGCAGAGAGACAGAGAAGTTCACCAGATTTCAAGCCTATCATTGACTTTCTAGAGAATGGTGAGATTCCCTCTCATTACAATGATTCTCAAGTCAAAGGTCTCCAAGGTCTCTCACAGGAGTATGACCTATGTGAAGGCATCTTGTATCATTTCTACCTGCCAAAGCATAGAGGACACAAGAACGGCCGTCACCCAATGGTTACACAACTGGCAGTTCCTATTTCTGACAGGAAATCCCTGCTTTATGCTTACCATGATTCCAAAGCAGGTGGGTGCCACTTTGGCCGGGATGCTACCCGTCAGTCCATTTTGACCAAATACCATTGGCCAGGCTTGTACCAAGATGTTGAAACATACATCAAATCTTGTGAAGAATGTCAAAAAAGCAAACGTTGGGCCCATTCAAAACCAGCTCCAATGGTACCAATGCCTATTGAAGATAACTTTTCCAGGTTACATGTTGACATCCTTGGGCCTCTTCCTCAAACAAAGGATGGGCATAAGTATGTTCTTGTAGCTGTGGATTCATTCTCAAGGTGGATTGAAGCATTTCCATTGCACACTCAAGATGCTGTGGAAGTAGCAACAAAACTCTTTAATGAAGTCTTCACAAGGTACGGTGCACCTCGAACTCTAGTCACTGATAGAGGTCGCCAGTTCACATCAAAGCTGGTCAATGCTATCTGTGAAATCTTTGAGGTTAAGCACCACTTCACATCGTCATACCATCCTCAGACAAATGGAATGGTTGAACGACGTAACAGTACAATTGCACAAGCCTTAAAATCTTACTGTAAGCCTGACCAATCCAACTGGGCTGATATTCTTCCATGTGTTCTCATGTCAATGCGAAACACACCGTGCCAATCAACTGGTTACTCACCTCACCATATGCTCTTTGGCAGAGAGATGTGTCTTCCATTTGATACTACACTCACACCAAAGCCAACACTTGGTAAAAATGCAGAGACACATCTCCAGCAGCTCATCGACAATCTGAAGGTTGTCAAATCTATTGCTCGCGACAACATGTCTGTAAGTCAACAGATAGACAAGGAGCATCAAGAGCTAAAATCATCAGAACCTTCATTCATGTTAGGTCAACAGGTGCTTCTACACAGCCCTGTAATCAAACAAGGACTTTCCCCAAAGCTGTCCCAATCATGGACAGGTCCTTATTATATCACAGACATTGGTCCAAACCACACCTTCAAAATTCACAGATGTTCAGATGACAAAGAACATAAATCTTTGGTCCATGCCAATCGCCTGAAACCCTATGTCCTCAGAGGTAATGTTGCACGGCATGTTGACGCATCAGGTTCTTCTGCACCTACATTGGTTTCAAGCAGAGCACAGGAACCATTACCAGATCCTCCTGCACAAACTTTCCAAGGCAGTCCTCCACTAGAATCACCAGCCTCTAGTGAAAAGCCAACTGCAAAAGCAGATGAAACTGTGCCATCAGAGCACAATCACAAGCAAACAAAAGATCACAATCAAGATCAATTCTATGATGTTGAAAAACTCTTGAAGTACAAAGACATCAATGGCATATGCCATTTTCTTGTCAAATGGGTTGCGCATCCTACACCAACATGGGAGCCACACCATAACATAGGACAAGGACTTATCAGAGACTTCCACGTGCATAAAACACAGGCTGGACGCAGTCGTAAGCACAAACGATCACACAAATATTTTGTCTAATCTCTAATAATATAGTTATCCTTGACTTTGATAGTACCTGGCAGGTTGTTTCATTGTGAGTAGTTAGATGTTGTCGACAAACCTGCAGGGCCTCCTGTGTTATTAAGTGCTAGAAGGATGATAGTTGCAAATGTCATCTCTTCAAACCCGTTGTCAACACTAATCAACCCACTTGATCTTCTCTCAGAGTTGTCAGATTCAGTTATCTATTATTATAGATTATGCTGTTATAATGGTGTATATGTCAAAATCGAGACAAACGTTATGTCCAAATATGACACTATTTGTCCATCTTCCATCCAATAACTATTTAAAACTTTAAGCTTAATATAAAACAGTTAATGTTGTATAAACTGTTACCCATCCATGAACTAAACCGATACATATACATGTACATGACCTCTTTCATCAGGTAAAGTTTTCAAACTGCCGAATCCATGCTGAGAACAATACTCTTCATATTCTATTAAGCCAGATGTTGCTAAAACTATTGTATTATGCTTCATTATGGTGTACCTTTTTGGGCTCTCATAACAGAACAATACCCTGTCATAACATGTTTTGTTTGGTAGACTGTTCAAATATTGTATTCTTTTTTCAATACCTGTATTATGTTTGTTACCATGACAAATGGATATTGTATCTTTCAGTAGCACTAGTTCCATATAACATATTTGTGCTTTTGCGGTCAAAAGCTTCCCACAGCGGAGGGATATTGTCATAGTCCTAAAATCACTATAATTAACCCATAATTATAGTGGTCATATTTCAATATTATGTTTTGTATTTCTCTCAATATGTTATCTTACAACTAGCTATACCTAAATATATTTCTGTAGATAATGTTAGTCAGCTGCCATGCACGTAACTGACCGTCACAAACCAGTGACTCTGGATTATGTAACTCAGCCAGGTGGCCAGGCTAGGGTTATGCCCCAGGCTATAACATGCTGTGTATGGCCGGACGCGTCGTCATTTTAGTATCAGATAGGTGGAATACAAAGGATATTACGCGGTCAGTGTGCTCTGTAACTGTCGAATAAGTGTAATTAATACGCCACGCATGTAGCAGATTTATGTCATAGTTTCAATATTAGGTAACTAACGCATTCTGAGTCCCTATATATACGGAGTCCAGTGGCAGACACTTCACTCTGCCACGAATAAAGACTTCAAGGGACTCAGCAGCCTTCTCTCTGTTTTAAAGGTGACAGCCGAGTAATCAGCTCTACCAAGTTATTTCCCCCACTATCTTGGCCATTGTGACGTAGCAAACGGGACCACGCCCATACAAGGCAAAACGGCCCGAAACACAAGCTACGTCAATATTAGAAATAGTTTAATTCTCTCAAGAAGTGGGCCTCACACCTGGTGAGATAAGGGCGGGTTGCGCTATCTCCAACCACAGCCTTGGAATCTGGTGATGGAGACTAGCTGCAAGTCTATGTAACCAAAATCTCCCGATCACACTTGCTTCACGCTTACCGGCACTTCTCAGTGGCTCCCCGCACACATCACATAGCAGCCTTCCCTTACTTACAGATCCCTATGCGGGAAACGTGGACCCAAATTCGTGTTGGAAGGAAAACAACTTTTTCAACAGCCTGATCAACTTACGTGTCAGACTACAGCAGTCCACTAAACGTCAGGGAGGTAACTCTTATAGAGAAGTATGATTCGTGGTTACATAAAACATGCATACTCACACAAATACGCACACATATGTTGCAAACATTATCATGTGCCAAGAAAACAGTTTCTATACCATTCCATTCTGAAAACACTTTAAACATATATCATGTATACCACTACGAGTATGTCAACCTAATACCTATTGTGTCTTGACAACAATAGCAGTTGAGGAGAAATTGTGTTTAACGTCGCGTCCAAGATTATTGCATTTGTATACAGCGACGTGCACACACATGCATGTGTGTGTGTGTGTGTGTGTGTGTGTGTGTGTGTGTGTGTGTGTGTGTGTGTGTGTGTGTGTGTGTGTGTGTTTGTGTGTGTGTGTGTGTGTGTGTGTGTGTGTGTGTGTATGTGTGTGTGTGTGTGTGTGATGGCTGCTTGTACTAGTTCGGACTGATGCCGATTTATACTGCTAACTCACTAAGATACCATGCCGTAGTTAAACATGAATACCCCACTCAGATACAATATACTGACGGGCGGATGCTGTACCTTAGGACCGCGGAGGCTGTTAAAACAATAGCAAATGTTTCAGGAAGTCATTGCCGGAAAACGCATCACTAGTTTTGCTTTGAATTTCTGTTTTTTTTCTGTTTCTACTTATTATTACCTAAATATTTAAACTCATGCCATGTTCTCATATCCTGATTCTGAGTTTACATTTTGGTTTACCTTCGGGTATACATGTGTGCGCTTTCTGACAGTACAGGTACTTGCATGGCATCAGTAGGTATGTATCTACAAAATATCTTTGCCCCGTGTTGATCTTCTGGCGAAGACATATTTGACATACATGTTGCGACTTTTGCGCGCCTTTAGACATCCTCTTCGGTGAGCATACGATGTGCAGTTATCCGGTGCTAAAAAGTCCTTCAAAAGTAAAATTAGATTTATGTATAGGATATGCGATTCCTAAATTGTTATCTTCATGTCATTTACATATTCGACATCGGAATGTAAGATACATAAAAGTCAACATAGTCCAACATAATTCTGTTTTTCAACTCACACATCCTTATTGTGCTATGTGTTCCTATGATTCTGCTTATTATTATATTTGACAAATAAGAACTAATACATGCAGCAAAGAGGGTTTGGGTCATCCCGGTACAGTCGGACGCATGTGACATTAGAGGAGGGCCCCTGCCACCTCGACACGCATCCCCGGCAGCAGATGAGACGAACCCACCAAGAACTTCCAGGAATGTTGTCTGAGTGGCTCTGTGTCTGGCGTTACAGCTGATACATCGGCGGTCTATTTTTAGATCCACATATCCTGCAGATAGGATAGTTAGGGCATGCGTGGGAGGGGTGTTCCAATTGGTGGCAGTGTATGCATTGGCGGTTGTTTTTCTCTCATTGTGTGGACTTAATATTAGATTGCGCCGAAGGCGATAGTTGTAGGAAGGGCTGTTCATGGAAATGTAAGGATGATTGTTTGTGTTGTTTGTCTGTTGTGAATTTGCGTTTACGTGTTGGTGTTTTGGAAGTCTGTCTATTGGTGTTGTGTGTATTCCCTTTGTGAGGTGAGGTGAAATGGTGTTTAACGTCGCGTCCAAGATTAATGCACTTATATAGCGACTGCATGTACGTGTGTGTGTTTGTGTGGCTGCTTGTACTAGTCCGGACTGATGCCGAATTATAGTGCTAGCTCACTGAGATACCATACGGCAGTTTAACATGAATACCCCACTCAGACACAGTATACTGACTCCAATTCGACCAGTCCTTGTTTAAGCCCCTTAATGCCGAGGCGGTCCGTGTATTCCGTTGTGTGTTGTGTTGTGTTGTGTCATCAGTCTGTGTGTGACCTTGTGGAAGATAAATATGTGCATCATGTTCAGTGTTCTGTACTGTGTTCTGTGTTCTGTGCCGTTTGCTGTGTCATTAGCTGTGTGCTGTTCAGTTCTGTGTTCAGTTCTATGTGTTCTGTACTGTGTTCTGTGTTCTATGTTGTGTGATGTCATCTGAGCTGTGTGCTGTTATGTGTTTTGTGTTAATGTTCTGTGCTGTGTTCCGTGCTGTGTGATGTGATCTGAGCTGTATGCTGTTCTGTGTTCAGTGTTCCGTGCTGTGTGCTTTGTTCCGTGATGTGTGATGTGATCTGAGCTGTGTGCTGTTCTGTGTTCAGTGTTCCGTGATGTGTGCTGTGGTACGTGTTGTGTGCTGTGTTCTGTGCTTTGTTCATCAGTGTGTGTGTGACCACGTGTACCTGGCTCAGCCATCTAGGGGTTTGCCATCTGTGATGAGTATTCTCTGTGCTGTGTTGTGTGCTGTGTTGGGTGCTGTGTTTTGTTTTGTGTTGTGTGCTGTGTGATGTAATGTGATGTGTGTTGTGTGCTGTGTTCTGTGTGCTGTGTGATTTGTTCTGTGCTGTGTCATGTGTGTTGTGTTCTTGGCTGTTTGATGTGTTATCTGCTGTGTTACGTGTTCTGTGCTGTATCATGTGTGCTGTGTGATGTGTTCTGAGCTGGGTGATATGTTCTGAGCTGTGTGCTGTGCCGTGTTCTGTGTTCTGTACTGTGTTATGTGTTCTGTGCTGTGTTCTGTGCTTTGTTCATCAGTGTGTGTGTGACCACTTGTACCTGGCTCAGCCATCTAGGGGTTTGCCATCTGTGATGAGTATTCTCTGTGCTGTGTTGTGTGCTGTGTTGTGTGATGTGTGTTGTGTGCTGTGTTCTGTGTGCTCTGTGATTTGTTCTGTGCTGTGTCATGTGTGTTGTGTTCTTGGCTGTTTGATGTGTTATCTGCTGTGTTACGTGTTCTGTGCTGTATCATGTGTGCTGTGTGATGTGTTCTGAGCTGGGTGATATGTTCTGAACTGTGTGCTGTGCCGTGTTCAGTGTTCTGTACTGTGTTATGTGTTCTATGCTGTATTATGTGTGATGTGTGCTGCGTTCTGAGCTTTGTGCTGTTCTGTGTTCAGTGTTCTGTGCTGTGTGATGTGTTCTGAGCTGGGTGATATGTTCTGAGCTGTGTGCTGTGCCGTGTTCAGTGTTCTGTACTGTGTTACGTGTTCTGTGCTGTATCATGTGTGCTGTGTGATATGTTCTGAGCTGTGTGCTGTGCAGTGTTCAGTGTTCTGTACTGTGTTATGTGTTCTATGCTGTGTTCTGTGCTTTGTTCATCAGTGTGTGTGTGTGTGTGCTGTTCCGTGTTCTGTGTTCTGTACTGTGTTATGTGTTCTATGCTGTGTTCTGTGCTTCGTTCATCAGTGTGTGTGTGTGTGCTGTTCCGTGTTCTGTGATATGTTCTGAGCTGTGTGCTGTGCCGTGTTCAGTGTTCTGTACTGTGTTATGTCTTCTATGCTGTGTTCTGTGCTTTGTTCATCAGTGTGTGTGTGTGTGTGTGTGTGCTGTTCCGTGTTCTGTGTTCTGTACTGTGTTATGTGTTCTGTGCTGTGTGATGTGTTCTGAGCTGTGTGCTCTTCTGTATTATATGTTCAGTGATCTTTGTTGTGTTCTGTGTTCTGTGCTATGTTCCGAGCTGTGTGCTGTTCTGTGTTCTGTATTCTGTATTCTGTGTTCTGTGTTCTGTGTCCAGTGTTCTGTGTTCATTGTTATGTGCTGTGTTATATCGTCTGTGCTGTGTTCTGTGTTCTGTGATGAGTGATATATGATGTGTTCTATGCTGTTTTCTATGCTGTGTTCTGTGTCCTGTGTGTTGTATCACATGCTGTTTGCTGTGTGAAGTAATCCGCGTGCTGTTTGCTGTGTGTTTTGTTTTTTGGTGTTCCGTGCTGTGGTCTGTGCTGTGTTCTGGCAAAATGTTTATTTTTATCCAACAAGAAGCCATGCACGCCACGCGAATGCAACGTTCATGCATGCATATGGTTTGACAACCAACTACAGTGTGTGGTAGGGAGTGGGGGCGGGAGGGGAGTCATATAAACAAATTGGTTACAGCTATAACGATAGGTATACCTACTCTGCAGTAGACAATACGTATTTGTTTTCTACATAAACGATGGGATGCTAACAAGCTACATAATTTTGATGAAAAGGTCTTGTTATAGAAACCATATGACAATGTTATATGTGATAGCGTCGAGCACGCGAGTGTGCACGTTCCTTGTGGAAGATAAATATGTGGATCTATTTAACGTTAATTATGATTCCAGGCATTTAGGTCAACATTGGACTTGAAGTTAGCATTGTGATCTGGAATGGGGAAAAGGATTGAGTCGCCGAAAGCGTTTTCCTACATGTGAAGAATGTGTGCAGCATTTTTCTGGAGTGTCCGATGTGATTTTACTGGAACCTCACTCACTCACTCACTCACTCACTCACTCAATTTTAATCGGGAATAGTCCTTTCAAGGACAGCGGTAAAAGTCCTGAATGTGTGACTAAGTCCTTCGCTTATACAAACCAAATTGGAGATTGAAACAACAACAACAACAACAACGTGTTTACTCCTTGCTAACACAACAGCTACAGCATAAACATGTTAATGACTTGCGATAGAATATCATATGGTAATCAAGAGTTCAATTAACACCAATAATTTGTAAATGTTATCATCATTAGATTTCATACCAAATGCTAAATGTAGGAAATACGAACCATACGAACCGTGTTATGATAACATATTCCATTTTCGGAGAAGATTTTATATTTCATTGTATATACATTCATAAATAGTTATCAATAGTTATCTTGCACAATCAAACATGTTCCATGTACATTATACAAACGATATTTACTATTTCAGCAAAGCAATCATAACGCCATTATCCCGGCTTCAAAGAAAAGAAAAGCAAATAGAACTTTACAGTGCATTCAGTCCATAACTATAGTTGTCATCGAGTTAAGAAGATGTTTATAGTGGTTGTATTATTTCTCTACCGCGTGTTTCATTGACAGAAACTGGGGCCGAGTTACCACATGTGAAACCGACGTTGACACAATTTGTTGACATTATTGCGTCGACTGGCATTTAGATGTTGTGGACATTTTTAAAATGTCCTTTTTCGACAAAACGTGAAATGGTTTTGGAAACGCATTAACACGGTGTCAGATAGTTAGATCATAAACACGAAACTATTAGTAATTCCACATAAAAAAACATCAACAGTTTTTTGTCAAAACGGGCGTTCATGTATAGGACAATTGGTACTCAATAAATCGCGGCACAGCCATGATGCGAACGTTCCCTGTCGTTCACTTTGGACTTGGTGGTGATCGTGAACTTCTCTAATTTGTACCACATTTATATTAACGGACATAATTGTCTTTACATATCTTAGATTTGAATATTTTCTGTCAATCAGCGTCATTCACATTACGATAATCTGCACAGCGTTTTTGATTGTAGCGCCCGCGAAATCGCCAAGACACACATTTGATCAAATATGTTATACTTGAAAACAACTTATCTTGCGGAGTAAACTCAGTAGTCTTACGCCAATAACTCTGTGGTAAGAAAAAGTAAATCTTTGTGAGTAGTCTTGTCAGATTTATTTTTCATTTTGTGCGTTAACGGTATTCCATATGCGTTGTTTAGCATCGTGCTGACAACAACCACTCAGAAAAACAACAAAATGACGCAATTATTCAACATTAAGAAATGCCACACCAGTCCGAAAATGAGCGTCTGCTTGAAGCAGGATCGAGTCAACGTGATGATGCAAGACAATTTAACGTCCACAGCACACCACTTGTTGTTTATGCCAACGTTGGCAACAGACAAATGCAGGCCACGCGTAACCAATAATCGACAAGGCAACTGGATTCGAACAACACATCTACCAAATCGATTCCAGCCAGCAACAGTGACTAAAAGGACCATCCCTGGCCTTCGACGAATATCTTCACAAACCGTACGCCGCCGCCTCAGATGTGAAGGGATCGTCGCCAGAAGACCCGCCAGACGTCCGATTTTGAACGGAAACCACCGTCAACCACGTCTACAGTGGTGAAGACAGCGTCTACGCTGGACGGTCATGCAGTGGGGACAAGTTCTAATCACTGACGAGTCTCGTTTTCAACTCAGCCACAGCGATGGACGGATTCGAGTGTACTGACGTCTAGGTGAACGTTACGTCAATCATTGTGTCATGGAAGAAGATCGGTTCGGGGGCGGCAGCGTTATGTTATGGGGTGGGATTGCAGCATTATACCATTATATATTTATGCATACAAAAGAGTTATTGGCTATTCGATAAGGTTATTAAGTATGTCCGATTGTCGCTTTCCAAAGAAATGTTATTATATGATGCTTCAGGCAGAAAGTAATGGTAAAATTAATTGGGTATCAAAATGTAAATTTTTATTGTTCCGTTTGGGTTTTGGCTCTGTATGGGAAAACCAGTGTATAAGTCATCCTCATTCGTTTTTAACAGAATTTATGTCGCGTCTGAAATGTAGTTATGAACAGGATTGGCATAGTCTTCTGGAAAAGGGTAGTAAATATTTCTCGTATTC